GGAAGCTAAAAAAAAAAAAAAAAAAAAAATACTCGAGGTCTTGGGCTTGGCTTGGCTCGTGAGCTCGGCTAGTGCTTGAACGAGCTTGAGCTTTGCTCGTCATTTTGACTTGACGAGCCGAGCTCTTGGGTACATGGGTCGAGCCGAGCCCGACTCAGCCCATTGCCATTCCTGACAAAACCCAAGAAGTATCGTATATAAAGCCTTTATAGCACAATACTTTGAATTCATCCAAGAAAAGAAAAAAGGTCGAACAATGGTGTGTATTGCATGGTGTATATTATTAGCATATATAGTTCAAGTAGTTGAATCTTTAGTTGTTTCTGCTCCATCTAGATTACAGTGTTCAACATAACTCTTTACAATATCGAAAGCAAATAATGAACAAAATTTCTTTTTTGCATATACATTAAACAGGTGAAGTAGCACAACCAGCAATCTGCAAGTATACCATTGATAATCAAAGTCAAACTATGATGAAAGCATGAAAAGCCAATTCAGGCAAAAGCTGTTGGTCCATTGGTTCTGATACTTCGAGATTTTTTCCGCTGTTTACGTTTTCCATTACCACTCTCAAAATTTTGAATAGATCCAGCACCACAGCTTTTCAGCTTTGCAGATTTGCCATGTTTACTCAATTCTTCTTGTGAATCCTCAACCAACGTCTTTGATTTGCTTTTGACAACTCTGTAACCCTCTTTTGACAGCTCTTCAAAGTCTTGTTGTGAACGACTGTAACCTGCTGACACTTCTTTTACAGTGCCAATAACGTTATGTTTAGAAATATTGCTTCTGGAATCATGACTCATGCCTTTGTCTTTCTTGGAACGCTGGTCATTTTTCACGAGACTCTCATTGTTCCAACCATTCTCTCTTCGAGCAGTGTCAACAAGATTAGCATTGTAGGTCTCAACCAGCTCTTTCTGCCTCCTTTCATCAGGAAGGAGTCCCACCAACTCGTGTACAAGATGGAGCAATCCATATTGCTCCATATATACCAGATATGTCTCAGCATCCATTAAACCTTGCCGATATTCACTAGATATTGTTTTAAAAGTAGAGTATCTGTTCTCATCAAATCCAAGAGCAAGGCGAATTTTTTCCACCAGTGATTTGTTTGTAGTATACACGTCTTTTACCTTCTTGACAGTGGCTGGCAACTTGCATGTTTGCATTGCAGAAACTGGAGGAAATTCAGTAATCAAAGGGTCGAAAGATACACATCCTGATAGGATATGACTCGACGTAGAATAACTGTCCCAACTCAGGTTTCCACAATTCCTTGATGATTGGTGAGCCTTGGCAGCAGCTGCATAACTAGATGGTGTAGGTCTATTTTCTGTTGCAGTTACATTCTGTCTGGTGCTGGATAATGGTCCATAAGCACTGTTTACCGAGGGCCAGGGATGAGGAGGGATAATTGCTGGTTTAGCAGGATTAAGATTACGGGGTGTCCAGGCCGAGACAGGACTGAAGATTTTCATTTTATTGTTTCTCTGACGGCCCAGATGTGATGCCATTGTGTTCTTTGGCAAAACAGCAGAGCGAGTATTTTGCTGACTACTGCAGGGAACCACAGGGAGCAGAGGGAACGAAGTCTGAGAGGCATGGAAGTGTCCATTTTGCTGACTACTGCAGGGAGCCACTGGGAGTGGAGGGAACGAAATTTGAGACATGGCTTGAAAACATTTCAAAGAGGGCTCAAAGTCCGTAATAGCTAATGATTCAAGTGGTGGAAAATGTGTATTGTCATTACTAATTTCTCCACGATCAGAATCTACCCCAGTACTGGATGGTGCTGCGTTAGACGTTTCAAGACTTACTTGGGTGGCCAAAGAAAGTTCATTATCTTTAGTATTATGCTGGCAAGAACATTCTGTTCGACGTAGACTATCTTGTTCGTGCTCCTGAGCATGTAACTGAAAAATGAACTAGGAAAAGAATCAGGAATGGAAACAAGCACAGTGGCAAAGTATATAAACATGTGATATTCGAGTATATATATTCTCGTCATTTAGATAGTCGACCTTCAATTCATGTTCAGACAGAAAGACAACGAACTTTTTTGTAAGGCACTCCTCATCCTCGCATAAGAAATGATATCTCCGGAAGTGGGCCTACAAATTAATAGAAAACAAAAGCTATTCTTTTCAGATAACCAAATAATGAGAGCAAGTTTGAAGTTCAGATGTCACCAACTCAACCTCCTCTTACCTCCAAGTCTGAGAAATTCTTGTAGTATTCATATTGTCCTGCATCTTGCCTGTGTAGATGTGTAGATATTATATTATATTATAATATATAAATATGTCGATTGCGACCAAATCATAAATAGCTCAATCTGAACTACATGGATTACCTTAGGCACATACGACAAGTATGATGTTCAGTGGACATGTGTGTATAAAGCTCACTTTCCCCATAAAACGGAATGCTGCAGAATTCACATATAGGATGCCCCATGAAGTCACCTTGATCAATTTCGGTTCCATCCACCTCCTCATCTCCTCTGTTTATATGCCGAGTCAGTTGTGCTCTAGTGTACAATTTTTGCTCGCAAATGAAAACCTGATAGAATCCAATAGCACTTTACCAGATTGTCATGTTAACCAATAATGATGACATATTGTAAATATAATATGTGTTCCATTTGGTTATTCACGTGCTTTAATTGTTTTTCCGCATCTCAAAAACAATGCCAAAATGCAACCAAGCTATAAATAACAAACCAAATCTTGAGGTGACAAGCTACCACTGAGTTATATAATAACTACACTACTCCAGTAAAGCAATAGAACTAAATAAAGCAAACTCAAAGGGTTGAAAAACTCAATGCTGTTTGATAGGACATGTGCATCTCAAACAGAAAGCAGTTGTTTATTACAAAAGTTAATTTAAATGATTTGTCTCTCACCATTATTATGCTTCTGATGATTAGTTACACTAATTTTGTACTTACAAGTTTTAGATGTAACATTTGTCAGAATAAAGTAAACATCAAAATAAATTTCAAATTTGAGTTCGCCTGTCAAACATTCATCCTCTTTAGAAAATAGACTAAGCAAAAAATCATTGACATCGCCAGAGCCGAAGCATCTGCATTGTAACTTACTAATGCTTGAATAATAGAAAACAAAACAGATTGAGAGGGGGAAAAAAATGGAACGACAATGTACCTTCTTTCCTTCCAAACACATGCTGCACATGAACAACTTGTGTTTATGGAACAAGTGACCCTTGAGTTCCTCAATATCCTTGAACTTTTCCTTTCTCCTAGATTTATCAATTCCATCACATACGCTACAAGAAAGCTCGCACATGGCCTTTATCATCTTGTAGTGATCCGAATCATCGAAGAATGCTTGTGTGCCTTCGTGGTACCAGTAGTTCCCCACTCTACCCTCTTCCACATCCGAAGGAAGTACAGAAAAATCTCCTATCCTCTTCGTATATTCTCCCAAATCCTAATTGCATCCAAGCAACACAAGAAACGTTTTATTCAATTGGAATTTGGCATAGTCTCAATGGGACTATTAGAAGTAATTATTTGACTGAAATTCGACTTAATCAGTAGTTCTTTAATCTTTACAACAATATCAATCAAGTCTTTAATTAAGCACCAATTCTTTCTATTTGTCCAAACAAAGTAGTTGGCTACATGCATATATTTCTAATTTTGGTTGATAGTGATATAATGCAATCGACATAAACAAAGGAATAATGAAGAACCTTGGTGACGAACACGACGTTGGATGGGGTCTTGCAAATAGAACAGCAGCGATCGTGGGAGATGAATCGAGAGCGAGCCACGCAAGTGGAGCAAACATCCCTGTGGCCACACGGACCGTAAGCCACCCAGTCCAATATTTCCGCACACGTAACGCACGTATCGTCCATGGCCTCTGCTCTCCTCTGGGACTAATCAAAATTGGAAGAAATACACTAATGGGAGTAGGGGATGATGTAGGGTTTATAAGGAATACATGCAACCGTAGTGAAAGAGGATTGGGAATCGAAAGAGTATTTATAGGTTGGTATTCCCACAGGGGTTTGGGAAAGGAAAGTTTTACGGGTACCCCACTGAGAAAAATTTATTCCCAAGTTACAGGGAATTTATTCGAAAGAAGTGGAATCTGACTAATCTCATTGACTCCACCATCATTGAATAGGGCTCCAGAAAAATCCCCCAATATTGAAGATAAATTTTAATTCACATTAATTATGAAAAAATCAATGCTATCCTATTACATTACAGAAGTTACCATTCTTGTTTTCTTTCTGAATCGGTGAACTCAATATCAGACAACATATTCTTATACATTGGTGCAAAAAATTTTAAATGTTGACTCGAAAAAATTTGAAATATGTATTTTTTTTTCTTTTTCTTTTTTTTATCTCTTAAGTTATGTGGGTTACAAAACAATATATTTTAATATAATATAAATTCCATGTTCTAAAACATCGGTGTGAATATGTTTGTGTGTTAAGGACTGAACAACTATAAGAAATAACAAGAAACAATATATTTTAATATAATATAAATTACATGTTCTCAATATGTTTGTGTGTTAAGAACTGAACAACTATAAGAATTAGAACAAAGTTTTGTGTACAGAGCTCTATTCTACAGATGTCTCACCGATCCCTCATATGGGATCAGTCCCACGAGAACCCCGATGTAATAAAAATGAAGAAAAAAAAATCCCGACTTCACCCCTTTGTGAGAACTTTACAAGAGTTCTGTAATGTGCTGGGCTGTACGCCCAACACTGCCCATAAGAAATATCAAGAAACAATCTTGCTATATGGCCAGAGGAATTTAACATTTTGGATGACATAATGCTACATGTCATTACATCATTGGTCTTATTTAAATACTACCATTAAATTAGTTCTTGCCACAATTTCATCTGTCAATCAAGGTGTTAAATTCCTCCGGTAAAACAACATAATTCAAAAATTAACAATTCAGCACATAACTAACATTACTCATTGGGAAGCGTTAAGGGCCCTTTTGACGTAGCATTTGCTTTTGTTTCTTGTAAAATAGCTTTTAGAAGAAGCTATCTTAATTTTTGTTTGAAATTAAATTTTTAAAAGAATTTTTTATTTCAAAAGTACTTTTAGATAAAGGTACATTGGATCAATTTCCTCTAAAAACTTTTCTAATTAGAAGAAGTACTTTCACAAAATTGTTCAAACAAATCCAATAGCTACTCAAAAGGTTCTTTTAACTTTTCAAAAATCATGCCAAACTGACTCTAAGATGCGTTGAATTTTCATGAACAATGTGTACTAATTTCCAATGCACTATTGTGTGGATTGATAATTTATATGTTGAAGCATATATTCAATATTCTAAAAAATCTAAAGTGTGGTTCGGAGGCATAATCCTAGTAAAAAATTCCAGGCGTGAAAAACTATAAAGCAAGACTAGGCAACGAGGACAAGCATCGCCGAAATGAAGCTCAGATGAGCTTTTTAGAACAACGGATATAGTTGTGCCTTACAATTTTTTGAATATTTTTGCTTGTGATATTGTTCCATGTTATTCTAAATTGTCCTCATACGTACGTAATGTGCGCCAATTGAATTGTTGCAATGTTATATATACATAGCGTGGATAATAGCATGGCTTTGTAATTTGTTACATAAGTAGTTCTAAAAATTAGAAATAATCATTGAGATAGTCGAAATTCTTGTCGCAACTGAATGCGCAATGACAACATAATTTGTTAAAGATAATGGATAGTAAGTTTAAGAACTAGATGGAAAATATGTGAGAAATTATAGGAGAATGAGATACGGAAAATCTTTCAAAGATGAGAGATAAATATTTAGGTGGGATTTGAGTCTAGATGGCAATTTGAACCGTTAAAACCAAAAACTGCGGTTAACTAAACTGAATGAGGTTAAAAAAATCGAAACAATGGTGCAATGGAA